CCGGACTTGGTGGACACGCAATTGATTAACAACTTTTCTTCTCGCTAAGCCGAGAAAAATTATAAACCTATTTTGTTTATAAGATAACTGATCACAATAAAAAATTGGATGATATAGTATTAAGCATTACTTTTTATCATAACCTAATAATGAGGATAAGAAAATCTAATAAGTATTTCCGAGCAGATGTTCTGTAAATCCGACGGCTCCTGAAATGTAGTAGTCTGAAATAAAAGTCGTACGGAAGGCTTTCCCTCAAGGCTTTTGACGAGGTGATGAAAAAAATGAGTTTGTGTGTTTTCTGCTTGCTCTGACTAGTCTGTGAAAGTGGATTTATACGTGGTAAAGGAAAAAGAGGGTAAGGTAATGGCTGAGGTGGGGGGGAGGGGAGGGCAGGGAAGTTTTTGAGTCGAATACGTACATGAAAATTAGAGTTAACACGTTGGCTTTAACCGGCGTCAGTTAAAAGCGGCAACGCGGGGATTTCTTGGCTTATGAACAGAATTTGAAATTAGATGAAAAATTTATTTTCTTTTACTCTTGAGAAACAAAATATTGCTCGGTCGGTCAGATTAACTTCACTGAGTGCAAAGCCAGGACCATTCTTGCATGTCACGTATCATGTTATCTTATCGGTGAAAACCAGAAGAAAAAGTAAACAAAAGAACTTCAAACACGAATGAAGATGGTTGTAAATATTGAGTTTGGTCATGATATCAACAGAGACGTGATTTGAGAAATTTTAAGTTCCTTGAGAGCAGGCGCATACAGATTGTGCACTACAACTGAGCTTTGAGTGAAACAAGAATTAAAAAAAAAGCAAAACATTGATAAAATGAGAAGATTCTCAAAGCGTAGAAGGATTTAGAATAGATTTGTTGGGCGGAAATTTCACTTCGATCAAAACGGATTTTTTGGTCTACTAAAAGTTTGTACGTGCTTCAGCATTTCAATGGTCTCTATGACGTCACAACTCTTCTTCCTGAGAGAACGACACATGATTGATAAGGCAAATCATATCAGAGACTTGATGTTACTGACCAGTCACTACTTAGTTCATAAGAATATTTTTCTAGAAAATCTCGATCCGACGTTCGCGTTATTTGCCCAAATTTAGGTAAAATATTTGAAGTTGTTACGTTTCAATTTTGAAATTGCGAAGCTCTATTGTGAGTTTTGAATCATGCCAAAAGAAAGCGTTTAGTCCTTCTAAATGCTTTCATTAAGATAACGACGCTTTTTTGTTTCCTTTGTTTGCACGAGTAAACTGTTTATATCTTTCGGGAGGAAGGTCAGGCAATAATATTTTATTTTCATCAAGTACAAGATTTCTAACCAATGAGTAAACGTGTTGTATGGTGGTCACATCAGGTTTGGCTTACCATATCAAAACAGCCAATTAAAAGTCGTGTTGTATTCTGCCAGCTTCTCTGAATATGCTAGTTGCAAGGGATTTCTGCGAAATATAATTGTGTACAGCTAGTATCAGATGTTTCTTGATGAGAGAGGGTAAAGTGATGCAACCTACGATTTTTATCAGCCTGCAGATAGATTCTGACTTAAATTCAATGCTATGAACTCTGCCATTTACGCGTGATTTTTCATAAGACACCGCCAAGTTACTTATCGCAGTGGACGCCTCGAGTTGGTGAACAGCTTGTGGCAGTTAATCGGCTACATCGTTTTAGTCCACGGATAATTTTATGGGCTTCGCATGCTTTGGAGGACTTAACGCTTCATTGATCCTTTTTTCATGATCTGTATCCTGATATTAAAACTTAGATGCGTCGAGTACTCGTATACAATAGACAAACACAACATGATCGTGAGTGCTCAGCGGAGCGTGAGTGTTTAGATGCTGCCGGTGTATGATCTGTTTGTGAAAACAAGCTGAATTGAAAATCTGTGGTCGTACCGTTGGAAGTCATCGGAAAAATCAGTGTATTTCTGAATTCCTGCATGAATTTTGACTGCAGAAAAGGTATTTATACAGGAAGCAACCTTGGTGAAAGTTAACTTTCTTTGAACGCCGAAGCTCCAGAGCTGGGCCGATTGAAGCGATTGTGCATATAAGGTAGGCAAGATCTGATTAGTTTAATCTCTGGACTAAGTTTAAAGGATTTTCATCGTCGTTAAGGCTACTTTTCGCTGCAGTCTTCGCGCATTCAAGAGTTTTTTCTGTGTTTTTGGTACCAGATCTTTAAGACCCATTTTTAATTTCCGACTGATCGAAGCTTCGTTTTAAGTTATCAATCCAGCTCGCGCAAAATCATTTGATATCGTCGAGTTTGTTGTCGAATTTTTCTCGAATTTTCACGGTACCATTTCAACTATTTATCGGGTATTTAAATCTTCCAGGTTCCTTGGTCTGTTGACAATCTTGTATGCAGGGTGACACGAACTTTCATCATAGACAATACAGTGAAATATCTTTTTTTGATCTATTCCCTTTGAAGCTTTGATTTCGGCGTCTTTGTGGCATACGTAAAATTTTAATCGCCCGGTAAATTATTTCAAATGTTCGCTTCTATTTTGTCAATGCTCAGAGAGATAAGAGAGTTTATTCACTGCGGCAGCATTCTCTTCATTACCGGGATTTTTTTTCATACGTAAAATCTTTCTATTTGAAATGGAAATCGAATCGTTGGATTAGTTTTCATTGATATTCACGAGACCACCGAAACAGTCTTGAAAATTCATACTGTAGGTATGTAGGTTGCCTTTTAGTAAGACACGGTTTCATTTGAATGTTGCAGTCATTTGTTTGGTGTATTATTTACCAGCCAAGCGACATGTCGCGTTTTATAGTTTACATTTGTAAAGAGTTCTCTTAAGCCGAAAAGATCTTGCGTTTTGCATAAGAACTAACAATTGAAAGACATTTGAAAACAACAACTTTCCATTGTTTGGAGGGATTTTTTTTGTTTTCAAAGGTGTGTTGATCACATTTTGACATTCAGTTGGGGGTCTGTACAAATTACCATTTCTCAGTGATGTTTTAGTATCAAATATGTGTTATCATGGTGAAGTTGCATGGGCAACTTTTTGGTAGAAATTTCACCTTGTAGGCCCGATCGCGTACCGCTTTACTATAGCCGACCTTCATCGCAATTTCAATGTTTCTCCTGTCGCTCGAAACAATGTTGTTTATGTATGGTAATTTGTATGGGTTGACCTACATTCACGATGCATGTCGTTAAAAAATCGAAGCCGAAATATTGTCTTTCATATCTTTTCGATCGCTAAATGAATGAGAGTTCTCCAGAAAAATTCCCAACTCCTAGCATTTATGCAGCGTTTTCCATTCCAAGACACATGTTTATGCAATTTTGACTATCAATTCACCTGCTTGAATGATTCAAATTAAAGCTTACATCCATGGACAAATTGATCAATTTTTAATGAACCGAAAAGTCTTATGCAAATTAGATCAGCTGAAATGTGTTCGATTTGGTTATGACATAAGGTGAACAACACTTCGCACACTTGTATTTCTGACGGAACTCTGCCAATGATATATTTGCAATTTGGGTGGTTAATTTAAGTAGTTGAAATCAATCTCACCGATACTGTTTCTGTGGAACAAAAATTGATATAAATAGCTTAACACTTAAAACAACTGCGGTCGTGGAAATTATCAACGCAAAGGTAACGTAAAACTTTTGAAGGGTTCCTTCTGATGTTAACTCGTTGTCTCGATCGAGCCAGCTTTTAATTTGAGTTTTAGTTTGTAACACGTTCACATTTCTTGCTACGAATTTCAATTTGTCTTAATGATTCAATCCATCCGAATTTGCATAAATTTAAGAAATGCATATTGTATATTTGAACTGATATTGATTCCTTCGGAAAGTGCAGCGCTTCGGTTTTTTTTCCGGCAGTGATCGATTGGTTCCGTTTACGAATACATCGTGACATAACTAAAAATTTTTTCCTTCACGATTTGGAAATTATTGCGCTTGCTACATGTACATAATCTTTACTTCTCATGAGCTGTCCAATTATATGGAAATGTCTCCTTTTGTGTGTGTGACATAATTTCTTGTTTTGGTCAATATTGGGTCAAATTTTTTAACACTCTAGAATATGTTAACATTAATTTTGTCATGTGTAAAGCATTTTGGTGTAGGCATTGTGATGTTGTAGTGTTGAAGGCACAGTAAGAAACAGAGAGAAATCTTTCCTACTGTTGCAATGAAGACATCTACTTTAAAGATTACTTTAAGCCAGGTGATTTAAACTTGTTTGAATGTGCCAGTCACGTACATTATATTTTATGCTTGGAGCCACTTATTAGTATGTTCGTATTTGATCAACAGGTTGCAGTGAATTTAAGAGGCTTGAGTTTGTGTACTTACTGAAGTTATTTTTTTCCATTTGTTTACAGGAATACCTGTCAAAGCCTCCTTTTGAGAAAAGATTTACTTCAAGTGTCTTAATTCCCATTAAAAAGCCTCAAATTGAAAGGTCACAAAAGCTTAAGTATGCTACAAAATGGAAGAGTGAGGGTCACTTGGTTAATAACTCTTTTGTTAAGGAAGTAAGCAAAAACATGTCGTACAGATATAAGGATTCACAATCTCAACCATCTTCTTTACCAAGAAGATATTTTTCACTTCCAAAGAATTATTCTTCAGTTGGTACTGACAATGGTAAAGATTCATCACACTCTAAAAGGTATAGGTCTATTTCTTCGTCATCTGCAACTTCGTCTGTGACACCTTATGCTCAGTCTTCAAGATATGGAAGTTTACGAACCTATGGTGCTTCCACAAACAGTTCTACATCTGAGGATATTAAAAAACCGACTTCCCGTCGGGCCTCAGGCAGCTCTGTGACCTCTAGATCTGTTGGGATTAGTAGCATTCCCCGCAAAAGTTCTTACAGTGGTACCTTGTCTTCTTCGGTATCCTCAAGTACACGTGATACAACACCATCATACTCATCTAGACATGTGTCAAGTATTCCGCATAGGACTTCTGGAAGTTCATCTGGAAGTTCATCAATAAGTGCAGACTCCAACTGGATGCCAGGAGGAGCTCCTGTAAGGCAGCGCTCTAGTACCACACTGCGCGAGACCCAGCCCACTTGGGGCCCTGATGGTCCTCCAGTTAGACAGTATTCTAGCAGCTCATTGCGAGATTCTCCATTTACTTTGCCGCCAAGGAGATCATATTCCTCCTCAAAAGGATGTAGTGATAATGAGACAAGGACATCATCAAGCAGAAAATCAGGTCCTGTTGAAATACTATCGACAGACCCTACGTCAGCATCAAATGTTGAGTTCAAAGGAAATAATGATAGTGAAGAAATTGAAAGAACATCATACTGTAGAAAAATTAGTCCCACAGAACCAACATCAACAAGGCGCACTTCTGCTCCTTCTGTTCAGTATGCAGGAAGTATTGAGATTAAGTCTGACAAACCATCATCACCCACATCACCTTTATCACCCGCATTACCAAAATCACCCACATCACCTACAGTTTCTTATTCTGGTAGTATTGCGCATAAAGATATGCTACGCTCAAAGAGTGAAGCTAGCACAACAAACAGCTCATGCCTAGAAGGTGCCAGTGGTGATAGTCATGCTGCTTCCAGAGATAGTAATGATGATGATGAGGTTGAATCCTCCGCTGCAAGAGACATTTCACTTTTAAGTAGAGAAATTGCAAGCGTTTATGAAGGTTCTCTCACTCGGAGTGACTCAAGGAAAGTCAAAGGAAATAATGTATCACAAATCAAGAGTTCAACAGAAAGTAAAAAGTCAAGGAAAAATTCAAAACAGGAAATACAGAATGACATGCCACAATCCAATGAGAAGAAAATAACTGCGAGTGGGAAATCATCTCGAGAGCAAAGTCCTGGATCAGATACAGGACTTAAGTTTAAGAAAAGTCATAAACGAAGTGCAAGTACTGGGTCTACTTCAGTCAAAGATGACAAAAAAAGTAAACCTGTGAGAAAAATTTCTGGAATCTTTTCTCGGAAAAAGTCACGGGAATCAACTGATTCCGAAGATGATGAGGAGAGGTTACAGAGCAAAGGCTCAGGGCTTTTCTCCCGAAAAGGTTCAAAAGATTCAGAGAAGGATTTTTCCTCACCATCACCTCCATTATCCCCTAAGACATCTCCGAAGCGAAAGATTTCTGGTCCTGGTAGATTGTTTTCTTTCTCTAGTGACTCAAAGACAACTCCTGAAATGCCACGGAAGTTTTCTGTTCCAGGAAAATATTTTGCAAGTAAGGAAAGCAAATCTGGTGGGGAATCAAGTGATTTGGATTCTGAAGGTCCAAGACCTTCTCGACCTCCTGTGAAAAGGAGAGTCTCTATGCCAGGAATGTTATCTTTAACAAGAAGCTCTAGCACAGAAAGATCATCTGGTGGTGGCTGCCATCCCAGCCCTGATCCTACAGCTGATCCTGCTCTTCTTCAACGACAGAGAAGTAGTTTTAAGAAAGCACAGTCTTTTGATGCACAGAGTGATAAGGCAAAGCACTCCATGTTGAGTAAGTTAAGGTTTTGGGATCATAACAAGAAGGATAAGTCACCCGATTCAAGAAACTCCACATCACCAGAGGAGGGAAGATCGCGATCTGTTTCTCCTTCTGTGGAACCAACACGTAGGATTTCTTTGGAAGAGAGGTTAGAAAATACAACTTCTCAATCAAGGAGGAGTAGAGAGAGAACTACCAAGAAAAAATCCTCCCAAGAAAAAACACTTGCTGATGCAGTAGCACCTTTAGAATCAAATACAAGGCAGGCTTTATTAGGTCATGATAAATCACAGGTTTCTCCTAAGGTGACAAACTCAGGTCTAGTGGCAAATGATGTCGCAAAGAGTATTGGTAAAGAGCCTAAAGTACAGTATGTTGGTCCTGTTGAACCCTCCACAACATCAGAGCTACGGGCAAGGAAAAGAGCACAATACAGAGTGAATTCAGGGGAGAAACAAACAGAAAGCAAGGTAAAGGCTTCAGGTAATCCAGCACAAGCTGAAGAGTCAATAAAATCTACTGGTAAGAAAGCTGAAATTGCATCGTCAGATGCCACTGATGATGCATCAAGAGACACTGTGTCCAAGTTACGAGAGAGGAGAAGGCGGAGACGTGAAGAAAGGGAACGCTTCTTTGCAGGTTTGGAGCCATCTAAAAACTCAACCAACAGACCTGCTGAAACGACTCAAAAGGATCCCGTTCCAGTTGAACCAGCTGTTAAAGACGTTAATCATGATGAAGTTGATGGAAGAACAATTTCTTCAAGCAACAAGCCAGAAGATAAAAGTGGAAGGATAACTATTGAAAGAAGGAGTGACCATCAAAATGGGCAAATTCAGAAAAAGTCAAACCTCAGAAATGGGAAACCTCGCAATCAAACTATTGCATCTGTGGTGCACAAAGATATTATTGCTGATTTGATCAGAGAGAAGGGCCTTAAGACAACTACAAATGCTGAAGTCAAAATCCCCTCTGTGGCTGAACTCAGAGCAAAGTTCTTGATATCCAAGGATGATGCAAAGGTTATTCCTCCGAGGCCAATTCTAAAACTTGATGATCGACCTCACAGTATCTGTGGGGAGATTTTGTCACCAACTGAAATGAAAAAGTTTGAAGACATGACTTTCTCCCTTGCTAGGAAAGTTTCTTCAGAGGCTGACAACTTAAATAGGAAATTATCTAATGGTGGTAATGGCTCTTTAACGCAGATTGATGCTCAGTGGAAAACACTTTCAGGTGCAAATGAAGAGAAAAGTCCACCTTCTTCTCCCAGAGTCAACAGTAAGATGAAAAAAGAAAAAAAAGTTAAGAATACTGTGAAAGAAAATGAACAAGTGGGAGAGGAGCCTGGAAGCCCTGAGAGTGGTAGTCATAAGAAGAAAAAAGGAAGCAAGAAGAAGAAGAAGAAATTGATATTTGGAAGTGAAAAGGAAAAGGGAAAAGAAAGTGATAAAGACCAGGAAGTTAAACCACCAGAGGAGGACACTGATTTGCCACAACATGGAGCTGTATCTGCGGCAATAAAAGCCATGTTTTCACGAAAGCCTTACACCTCAGAGAAGATTAAGATATCGCGGAAGCAGCGAGCCAAGACAGTGCCTATTAACCAAACAGAGAATAGAGATATTGGGCAATCTGAAATGGAATCGAGGGAAAGGAAGAAGTCGGCCCCAGCATCAACAGATGTACAGAACTCTCTAGATATGAATACAAAGCCTGTAAAAATTGAGAAGAAAGTTGAAAAGGGTGAGAAAATTGAGAGGAAAGAGGTGATGGAAGATCTTGAAAAGAAAATGGAAGATGTAGATGAGAAAGAAAAAGCAGGGAAGGATGTAGAGCTGCAGCCAACTGAGGATCTTGAGGAGGCACCAGTAAAGGAAAGAAAGTCCCTCAAAAAACGTAAGTTCCTTTTACATGCTTATTTTTTATTGAAGTAACTTTGGATTAAATCCTTCTGGTTTGCCTTTAATGATGTGTCATTCCCACTTTGATTCCAAGTTAATGCTGTGGTTTAATTTTTTTTTTTAAGTATAAAGTTTTCAATCCATTTGTTTTTTGTTTTCCTTTGTCTTGTGATCCTAATTATCCTAATCCTTAATTTCCTAAGATCTGATTGTTAATTCTCCCTTCCAGCTTCCACACATTTCCTTGTAAATTAGTTATGAGAATTTGGTATGCTTAAAAGATTAAGAGAACTTCTGCCTGATAAATTTTAGTATTCTTGTTACTTGTTTTCTGGATAATGTATGGATATTAGAGAGAGAAGTTACATTTTGATCACTTCTGGGAGTTAAAAAAGGGTTACCTGAACAAGGAAAATAAAAATCAAACATTTTAAAAAAATTTAAGTCAAGAAAGAAATTGAACTAAAATGTAGACATTGCAGAGTAGACAGGAAATTAGAATGCTGTGTCCATGAAAATCCAGATTCTCAGAACTGGCAGAACAGAAAATTTGTAGTGCCCATTGTAGAGAATTAGTGGTAGGACCAGGGTAGTAGAAAGTGTAAAGTGGAAAACTGAGCCCAGAGGTTAATTTGTTATTTGTGTTGATAAAATACTAATTTCTCAGAACCAGCTGAGAGCAAAGAGTGTAATGGTTAGAAAGGAGAATTTAATGGTTTATTGGTTAGAGGTGAAAACAATTTTATTTTAGCTCACAGGCAAAATTACAGATGTTTTTGTCTCTTGTAAAGCTGTTAGCAAGAGAAAAATAGCTGGTGATAATTGTATCAAGAAAAAAAATAATACACAGTGTTTATTGTTTTCTCTTTGTTAGCAAGGTCAATCCCACTTTGTTATGACAGTATTCTGTAACACAATCTGCTATGTTGATATTTTCAGTTCATTGCCAAAGATTGTTTGTTTAATCATTATGGAAGTTGTGATCATGGCCTAAAAAAGCTTAGTTTTTCACCCTTAGCTCCTCTTTCTATTATGTCTCAGCCAGTGAGATTGCAAGAGAAATATTTTAATTTTGATTAGAGATTTTAAGGGTTGATAAGCTTTGCACAGGAAACATTAACAAAAATATTAATGTATAACCTTCATGAGGATGTGCTCTGTGAATTGTTACTGAATAAGACATGGATCCAAAAGTAAGTTCACTTTTCTCTTTTTTAAATCAACAAGTAATGAATGTTTCAGTTAAAATTTACCTCTCTGTCTGTGTGACAGAATGTTTAAGTAACAAAGGACATATTGTATAAATCTCTTAGATTTATCTGCAACTTGATACACAAATTGATGCTCTCACTGCTCTGAGTTATACAGCTGTAGCTGAGGAGTTGAAACGATTGAAAATATTTTTTGTTTCAGTTTTTCTGCCTCATGTTTGATTCTGTCAAATTAAAACAGATATTAATTTGAAAGCTGCATGTGTTTGTACTACATTTACAGTGTAGTTTTGTCTGTGATCCTGTTTTGAATTGTATGTTTTCCTTATATAAATTACAGTAGTTTTATACATGTGCTCCCAAGTGTATTTGACCCCTCTTGGTGTAAATTACCACCAAGGTTTTGAGCAGGGTTGTGCGTGTATTTTCAAGAATGGAAGGCTTTTGCAAATAATTAATTTTCATTCTGTACTTTGAGTTAGAGCAGTTCTAACTAACTTGGACAATTTTGTCCTTTTAAGGAACCCTCTGATTAATATTTGATGTGTTTTTAGATCAAGTTTGCATTTGTGAAGAAACTATTTTTAAAAATCTACTACACAAAACAGTTTTAAAGGTTTTGTTTATTTTTATAAAATGTCAACTGCTGTATGTCTCTAGGGTACAATAATCAATATTTAGATTTTTCTTGCCCTGAGTCTAAAATTTGGACCATTATGAAAATGTTTTTATTTTTTTAATGTATACCTGCTAATGATGCTTTTAATATATAAATTGAGACCAATACAATGGAAATATCTGTCAGAGACAATATGATAATTAGGCATCTTTATTTTAAACAGAGGTTGGTTGTAAACATTATGGCATTCTAAAGTGATATTTAGAAAGAATAAAGGGGCCATGGTCATTTCAGTCCTACTTTGGTCACTGTAGCAAATTTAGAATGCTATTTCAAGTCAGAGAGATTTGACATGGACAGTGAAAGGTTTGAAGTTGTTAGATCAGGAGGAAATTCCCTACTTTTCAGTTAGGCAACGATGAAAAAGAAACAAATCAGTTCTTTTTGCAACAAGATTATTCATTCTCATGAGCAGTCCAATGGAGAAAAATGATGAGAGTTTGTGTGGGTACAGAAGATGGTAACCACTTTGTTGA